GAAAAGAGATTCGTTGGTCGATCTCACCAGATGAGGACGGATGAAACTCGTACTGCAGCCGGTTGGATTTTATAGGATATTCATGTTGACGCAGTCTACGGGACTTGCTCCCTCATTTCGGGTGAAAACGTGCTGAGCTTTCGTCTATCATATGATGGATATCATCAGAGCTGGGTGTCATTATTGTAAAAGTCAAATGTTAACACTAGGTCAAGAAGACTATCCGGCTTTTTCTTACCTCTTATATAGACTAAGCTAAGCCAAAATTAAAAAAAAATAAAAAACCTAGATGTATATAGAGTGGTTTGGCTAATTATCTTTCATATTTGTCCTGCTACTTTTGTTCGAATGTATCCGTGTGTGTGTTAGCGTCTATACGCAATACATTAGGTTCACGATGGAAATGGGAGAGAATAAGTCCTTAACTTTTCTGGATGTTCTTATCATTAGAGAAAAGGATAAGTTAGAAAGAGATGTTTATAGGAAGTCAACATATGTTGGTCTTTTGCTTAATTTTCTTCCCAACCATAGTTACAAGACTAAGGTTGGAATTTCGAAGTCAATGATTCTTAGAAGTATGAGGCTAGCTGAAAGAAAAAATTTGACTAAAGAGTTGGAACGGCTGACAAATATATTCCTGGAAAATAATTATCCTTTGGGCCTAATTAAGAATAATATTTCTCTACTGAGGAATACATTTTCACACGGAGACCATTTAGTCACATAGCCTTGCTTTCCCAAAAGTTAGGCTGTGAAATTCAATCGAAAAGTCAACTTTACTCATATAATTATGGGAAAATTCTACTACCAATCCTTCATCACCTTAAACGAAATAGGGTGAATACATCTTATATTACTTGCCAGTTAGAATGAAAAATAAGTTGGATGGAATTCGTAGTGTGGTCTCATCATAAACAGTACGAAGAATGTTGACTAGTGAAGACTAGTGTATTATCTGAATAAGTCCTCAGCTCACTGCCCTGCGAACCTGATGAACCTGGGCTAAGCTTTCGCCTGTAAAAACAGAGCAAAAATATACTAAACCTTTTCGCGTGATGCCAACCTTTTGCGTGATTGCGAAAGACAGCTTCACCCAAAAAAGACGTAACCTGTTGGGCTACCAATGAAAAAGTGTTGTATTCACCCAATTTCGTCTAAGGTCATGAAGGACTGGCAGTAGATTTTTCCCACAATGATATGAGTTGAGCTGACGTTTCCATTGATTTTCACATAGCCTTGCTTTCCCAAAAGTCGTTCTCATCCAGGCTGGACTGCAGTTTCGACCCCACATCGGTCTTATCAACATTCACAGCGGGTGTCGAACCGCGACAGTGCAGGATGGGAGCTTGACACGCCAGCCAAAAATCAAGATTATGTGAAATTCACTGGAAACGTCAGCTCAACTCATATCATTGTGGGAAAATTCTACTACCAGTCCTTCATCACTTTAGACGAAATAGGGTGAATACAACTCATAACACTGATTTACTGGTAGTCTTGAAACCCTACTCTCATACGAATATACCAATGAAAAAGCCATGTGACAAGCTGAACCCTCGCAGATAATAGCGGAGTTGATGGGGTCTGTGGGCATCAGCACGAATAACCGCTTTATGTCACTAGGGCGCTATGCTTTTAATCGAATCCGCTCACCTACTTTTTTCCCCTGCCCTGACTTCTGCCCCCAGGCCTCAGCAGAGGGCGACGCCTGGCTGCTGGATTTCCACGACGCCGAAGAGCGTCTTCTCGCCGGCTCCGCTCGAAGGCGTTGCCTCGACATCCTCGAGACCCTGTCAGAACGCCACCTCAATCTCGGACTGCCAGGCCAAGAGGAATCTGGCTGGCCAGAAGTGGCCGCAGTCCGAGGAGGCGGTGAAGAGGGGCAACAGTGTCTGGTGAAAGCATACCACCTGAAGAGTCTGGTGCTTCACGAGTGTGAGAAGCATCCCCGCGAAGAGGAATGGCATGAGGCGGCGCTTCCAGACCGCGTGAATGGCGTCCTCTTGCAACTCATCTCTTGTCTCCAGCATCGACGATGTCCTCACTACTTTCTGCCACAGCTCGACCTGTTTCGCGGCAAATCTCCTGTGGCTATGGATCTGGCGGCCAAGCAGGCCTGGAACTTGTTGCGGGCTTTAATCACTTCACCACGGGCCCTCGAGCGCCTCTAGGCCGCTACAAGTAGACCCTCTCCTTCGCTACTCAATTCATTCAGCAGCCCTACAGACACTGGCAAGTCAGGACAGGACACGGATTACTTGCTTTGCAAACCGACGGGCAAAATGTACGGGTCCCGGCAGCAGAATGCTTTGTGCTCTGGTCGGCCGAGATCTCATGATGCCTCTTGCTTGAGGAGCCCTGACTAACATAATATACAGGAAATCATTCTTCGAGGCATTCTATTATTTCCTACCCCAAAATTGCCTTCCTCTTATGTACAGTGTTTCACTCCTGCCACTGTAGAGATGGCTTGCCATTCCGCATTTCTGGCTCCTCTTTCACATTTAATGAGTCTGAGGCAAGATCGCTGCAGCATCAAGTCGTCACTCAGCGATCCGTTTTATCCTTGTTTATGAGTACACAAACAGGCCACATTACTCGAAGTCTCCGGTACATCGAAAATCAAATTTAACCTTACTTAAATTTGTATCTATTTTCATATCAGTAAATAAAGCAATAGCCCATTTTATAAAGATGTCGCAGTATTGCCATCATGCATCAATTTCTATGCTGATGTAGCCAAAAAGCGAATGTAACCCTGATGAAGTGTTGAGAAACCCAAAAAGTTGTGTTCATCCAGACTTGACTGAAGCTTTTGCCTAATTTGTGACTCCCCATTTGCCCTAAAAAGAGGCGCAGATACGAAGACGAAAACTTTACTCCTGTACAACCTGCTATGTTCGGCAGATTGTTGCTCACTTGTTTCATTGACTAGTTGTAGTTTGATGCTAAGTATGGCAGAACTCACTGACGATGCCGGTTATGATGCTGGCGAAATGTCCGGAAGTGTACCCAGTCCACGGTCCGAAGCTCGAAATTATCATGACTGCTATGGCACATATAAACGATATGTCATGAATTCAAAGGGAATTCGAAATTTCGTCGTCAGTTTGCTAAATGGAACCCACCCACTTTACGATACCACCAGCAATTGGCTCAAAAACCCAAGTCATTGGTTTGCAGATGCAGCAACCATCCAACCAATGAGGCTATTCTTGTCTGGTCTGCTTATTTGAGGCAGATGATAATGGCTTTGGTTAGTCGAGGAGTTTCGTGAAAG